GACAGTCTAAAGGCAGGAAATAGGCCCATTTTTTTTAGTAACAGTATATGTCTGAAGACAATTAGCTTTTTTACAATATATACAATTGAGTAATTACACTATATACAAATCTTTCAACTGACAGTCATCCAACTTATACCGCCTTCTCAGGTTTAGGAATAAATTATCATATCCCTATCAGTTAAATGATTTAGAGTGAGTATTTAACGCCTGCTCTTTTAAGGCAATGGTTGATAAATTGAAAGGGAATTAGATTATTTTTGAGAATTTTGATAAGGAGCAAAATTTCGCGTTGTAAATCTATTGTATCTGTGCATATAGTTTTAATTCGTTGTATTTGATTAATTATAGTATTGTTAATTACTTTTTTGGATATGTTGGAGTTCCAATTTATTAATTTGTTAGTATTGAAATTGAACGTATTTTTATCAATTATTGATCATTGAACGGGAGTTGGTTTGTTCCCCTTGAAAAGTCAACTAATTTCCGATCAATGACAATAATTACATGTTTTAATTTTTACTTTTACAATTGTAATATTATTCCTCGTGATGATTTAACTCCAGTCCCCGTTAAAACATTATTAACATTTTGCTTTCAAATTACTTCAAAACATCTTTCAAAAATATAACTTACCAGTATGGATGCACACTTTTAAATAATTCTACTTTAATTAAACTTAGGAGATAATATAATCAATTAATCAATACTGTTTAGGAAATAATTTATATATATATATATATGAGATGAATAATGAAGAATATCAATTTTGCATCTAGTACCCAATGTGAATTTCTTTTTTTCTTCTCTCACTTTTTCATTATGCATAAACAAAAATTGCAGTGATGTTTATGCTATTTGTTTTAACAAGGACTTGAAAAGGTATCATTCGAAAGCTTGCAAAATTCTGATGTGAAATTAACAACATTAAGCCATGAGTGGATATATATATCACCATTTGATAAAATAATTCTAGGAAAAAATCTGCACGTAATGGTTAAAACAACTTATTTCATAATGTCACGTATTATGCAGTCTGTTGATTTCTAACAACCTCTTCATTAAGAGAGAGTTCGTGTGATAAGATAGCTGTCACAATTGTCATAATCATAAAGTATAAAAGCTTTATTCTCACTTGTGGAAGAAGGTTCTAGGCAAAATCAGGGAAGATAAATTTGCTCACATGTAATTGTGCAGCTGACACTGTAAAATTATTGGCTGGGTATTTTTTTTTTAAATTATTTTGCTGTGATTGGTTGAATTTTATGACATCTTCGTGTAAAAATGAAAAGTAAGAGCTTTAGATGAAATCCTGAGAACCAATTTCTGTGATGTAGCAACATTTAGTTGTCTAGCAGCAAAGTTTGGCTTAACACCATTTGTCACTGTGAAGACCTTGTGTGAAAGTCATTAGGTTTATCATTGCAGGAGATGTTAAAAAGGTGTATGGTACCCTCATTGGGATACAAACACTGGACCTTCCAATTCCTAACTGAATATGCTGTCTACTTGAACCACAAAGGCTCGAAGAAGAAAGGCAGAATACTTTATGTATCCCTTAATGAATAAGGGGGAATCCCTTAATGAATTAATATCGGGGGATAAGGCAAAGAATGTCTATGTAAAGAAGGAAAGGTTCCATAGGCATAATATATAAACCAGTTTGCTATTACATTGCTGGAAAGCAGAGGTGAAAATTTGCCAAGGGATTTAGCGATGGAACCTGGCGGCGAGAATTTCCCCTTTCGCTATGCGTACAGCAAGCTGAGGAGCACGTGTTAAGGAGAAATGTTCTCTACAAACCATTTCTTCTTTGACTTTTCGTGAAAATTTAGACTTGCATTTTTGCACCTTTTTTGGCTCAAAATAACTAATCCATTAATTTTACTTGCGCAAAGAAATATTTTCTTTAAAGTTTAAAAAAAAAATTTAAACAATGTTCGTTTTATGGACTTGATAAATGTGCGCAAAGAAATATTTTCTTTAAAGTTTAAAAAAAAAATTTAAACAATGTTCGTTTTATGGACTTGATAAATGTGACCTTTGAACTTCGACGCAGGCTTCAAACTTTGGTGAGGGTTATTTCACGCATGAGCAGACATTACCCTCTATGTTGGGAAGGAGCCACTCCTGCTGTGGAAAAGTTTTCCTTCTTAACAATAAACGTTCTTTGGATGAGGGGACTTGCATGTGAAAGCGATTTGATGACGAATTATTATCCGTCACCTTTTTAGTTCAAGCAGCACTTTTTGATTCATTTAGAATTTTTCAGTGTTAACAAAAAATCCACTATACCCTCTTCAGAATTTGCAAACCGGAACTACTAATGCTAGCCAAATATGTTATCTAGTTTATATCACAAAGGTATGCGGAAAGGAGGGGAAAAATAACCTTGTAACTCCAAATATTATAAATGGATAAAATTTCACAAAATGCCAAGATTTCCTGTGTAAGGTTTGGAAATTCTATCGAAGCAAAGTAAAGCCATATGTACAACTTTTATGAATTTTTCATAATTTGTAATAACATTGCCACATTTTTATGATTTTACATGTGAAGACATGAATTTTTTTTATTAATTCTGTTTTTGTTAAAGATGCAATAGTTTCATCATGGTGATATTGCCAAGACTAAGAGATTGTTATCAGGTAATGCAACTTTAGGGTTTTAAATCTTTACTTCACAATTGGACAAATCTATTTTCTCTTGAGAGAGAGAAGAGGTGTTGGAAGATCCCATTATTTTCGCATTCTTGCACCATGTGCTTTGTTGATGATAAATCAATATTTTACTGACTTACAATAGCTTTAACTTCATAAATTACAACATTTCAGTTTGTAATTTATGAGTTTCATCAAAAAAATTTTTGAAAGTACATTAGCATTACTGTGATATCATTAAAGTTGAATAGTGTAATAATAAAATTGTGATAATAAAGCATCATATTTTTTCCCCACTTTCTTGTGTTATAACATCTAATGTCCACGTTTGGTGATTTTTGTTGTTGATTATTCTAACTTGTCTGACGTAGTCAGCCCAAGCCGTGAAATTTCTCATGGCGAGCGCTGGAATTAGCCTGCCGTTGGCAACAGCCTTGAGCACCTTCTAGGTCACAATGTGATTTAGCTCAGTTCCACCCACAATTTTGATGGAGAGCACACCAGGGGGGAGGTGGGTCCGAGGGTCTTCCAAACCACATAAGATGACTTTTGGTGCCGCCATGCTGCACCGACACATACATTTACAAACATCCAGGCCTTCTCCTGGATTCGAACCCGTGCCCTTCGTTAAGGCAGCCGGTTGGGCGGCCTTGGTGATTTTTTTTTAAAGTTGTTTTGCAAAATGTTGTCAAGCCTACTTGAAAATGTAAGCTAAATTGCAGATTGCAGAATATATTAAAAAGTAGTGTCAAATATTGCTTGCCCACAAGTTCACTGTTGAAGCTAGTATTTTTTAACTAAGTGATACTGGAGCTTCTTTGTGTTGCAGATTGCAGAATATATTAAAAAGTAGTGTCAAATATTGCTTGCCCACAAGTTCACTGTTGAAGCTAGTATTTTTTAACTAAGTGATACTGGAGCTTCTTTGTGTTACGCAAGGGAAGAAGTTTGCAACATGTGTGGATGCAATTTTATAGCTGTTTGTGGAAAAGTGTTATATAAAACATCTGAAATAAATAATAAGTGATGAATATTTGGATAAAAGTCAAGGTCTGCAAATTTTTTCAGAAATCTAATTATGAAGTTACTATTATTCTAGCCAAGTGCTTCTTTTACTGGATTTTTAAATGGACACAATATTGAATGTTGCTAACAGAGGTGTTATTAGTTTTGAAATTCACTTTTGTCCAAATCGCTTTTAAAATTGTTGCCATCTTATGTTATTAAAAAAATAAATAATGAAGAATCTATGTTCCTTGCATTGTAGAAAAACATCGGCACCTATAACTATTGAATTTTAAATACACATAATCTTAACTCGAGCATGCACACCTCAAATTTTTCTAATTTTGAATTGCTTTTGATCTATTTTGTATACATTTAACAAGTTTTTATTTAACCCTCAATGATTTGAAAGCAAAAAGTGGCAGCATTGTTCGAAATAAAATATTTTTTTTATCTCCTATTCACTCCAGTTGCATTCGGCAGAATGTGAGATATTTAGCTTTTGTTTTATCCACAAATTTCGCTGTTTGATAGCAATGTATTGCCATTGCCTCAGACAGAATACTTATTATCTCCATGCACCAGTGTGTTTCTATTCAATAAAGTGTAAGATATTTAATGATTCTCTTACTGAATAGCAAAATGAACAATTTAAAAACAATAATTGCAGTTTTTAAAAATATTTTTCTAATTTTTCGATGATTGATTTAAATAAAAATGCATTTAAATCGTGAGATATCTTAAATAGAAATATTAAATATTTTTATGAAGTGACGCTAGCTGGAGTCATTAAAATCATTACATACTTTTTTTCTTTTTTATGATAAGTCTTTTAGGTGGCAGGTCATCAGTGGTGTAGCTAGGAGGGGGCAAGGGTAAGCATCTGTTCCCAGGTGCAGCATCCAGGGAATGCCAAATTGATGTTCTCCATTGTATTTGCTAAACAGGAAGGGGTGCAAAATCTTCACATGTCCTTGGGCACTGAAAACCATAGCTATACTTCTTCTAGTTGCTTAAGCATCTAGTTTTCAAAGAAATAATAATAATATAGTGAATATAAAAAAAAAAAGAAGTATCGCCAACCCCAAACATTCTGTTGGGTATTGTAAAGATATGCTGTTTTTATGGAGTTCTTTTAGTGCTGCTACTTCAAGGCAAGCATGATATGGAAACATTTCTTTATAAGAATTTATTTCCAATATATTTTGCAGAATATTATGAATTTTTGTTGTGCAATAGTTAAATTAATATTTTTAGCTTGTTCAACTGTTGCAACTATTTTAAATGTTTAAAAAAAAAAGGTTAAATGTAAACTTTTCCTTCCCTTTATTATAGCTAGCAGCATGGCAGCAGATGATTTGTTCAGCCAGTTGTTTGGTGGAAACCTTTTTGGTATGGGAGGCATGGGAGGAGGAAGACGACGGAAAAGAGGCGAAGATACTGTTTATCCACTGAAGTAACTTTCTTTTGAATTTTTAAGTTGTCAAATGCATAAGTTGTTTATTATACAGTGCAACCCAATTTAAAAATAATTATTTCCTTTATTCCAACTAAAAATGTATAAAACCAGTGCAGAGTTGCCAACTCTCCCGATTTAGGCGGTAGACTCCTGATTTTCGACCGCTCTCCCGCCAACCCGATTTACAATATATTTCTCCCGACTTTTTCTTATTCTTAAAATTTCTCGCGATTTTTATGCAACTTGGCTTCATACTTTCATACTTTTCATACTGTTATATGAATAAAAAAAAGTGCTTTTGGACGTCTGAAAGCAATTGAATTTTCTTCTACATTATATCTAAAACAAAACCTTGCGAATCAGATAGCTTCTGCTTTGTGAGTGAGAGCATTATACGTATCCAGAAACGCCGTTCTCCAGTTCTCCAATAGGCTTCGAGCTCCACTGCGTGTCAGCTGGCATATATTAGCCAATGAAAACAAAGCAAGTTGTTATTTGGACGTTCTTTAGTTATTTCGTTCATTTTGTCCTGAGTTGTGTGAGTACACGTGCCTTAGGGAAATAGTTTTAGAAATTATCATCTTTTGTTATGTCTGCGAGAAAGGTGAAATACTCGTGTACGTTTCAAAAATCGTACACAGTTGACTTTCCTTCCATTATTTCCTCAAGGAAATGTAATAAATCTGCGATGTGTACCGCCTGTCATTGCGATTTTTCGATTTCGTATGTTGGAAGGGCAGATGTTCTCAAACATGTGCGTACACAAAAACACAAGGATAACATGAGTTGTTTTGAAAAAAACGAAAAATTAAATTTTTCTTCGGAAACATAGGACCAAAAAGTTATTAATGCAAAATGCCTGTTCTCTGCCTTTTTACTGGAGCACAACCTGCCACTGAATGCATCGGATCACGCTGCAGCTTTATTTAGAAAAATGTTTACTGACCAATTTGTCAGAAGCGAATTATAATGACCAGGCATTGATTTAAATCATATCAAAGTACATCGAGATGAAATACTACATTGAGTAATCAATTATAAGCCAAATAAAATAAAAACATCTGCCCTTAAGATAAGGATAGTGCTGACAAATCAACTTCCAATTCATTGCACATGCGCGTTAAAGATAAACAAAGTTTAGATAAACAAACGTTAAAGTTTATATAAACAAAGAATATGCCTTTATCCATTTTTTGCAGCAATTCCATTTTTTTGTTTAATGGATTCCGAAAGATACTTTCGCTTTGTATATCCTTTACATATTAGTAAATATATATCGGAAATTCTATTTGACATAATCGAAAGTTCAAGCTTACTTTTATAAAATTGCTCTAACAGTCTGCAAAAAATAATAATCCGGATCCAATTCGAAGATTAAGGAACAACGCAATCTGCAACATTAACTAAAATAGATAATTAGATTATTTTAGCTTAGCTTATCCCGTCCGTTACACATTAAACGCGCATTCGAAACGTATTTTGCGCACGCGAATTCGCAGCGGTAAAGGTCTTACGCGCATGCGTCAACGCGACGCATGCGCAGAAAGATTGTAGCTTTGATGTCCGGATTATAGATCATTCCGGATTATGGGTGTCCGAATTAACGACTTTTGACTGTATTATCTTGAAAGGAGTTCTAAAAGGAAGAAAAATTGAAACAGTTCCAACAGCTGCATAACAGCAGTTTACAATTAGAAAAACTTGGATGAAGTTATAAAATCAGCTACGATTGACACCCAGTGGAGTTTAATTGGAAAACTGAAAGGTGCTGATGGAATTTTAAAATATAGTGAACTGTCTAGAATTGTGTTGGCCATCTTGACAGTTCCCCATAGTAATGCAGAGTGTGAGAGGATTCTCAGTGTTGTTGCGAAAACGAGGACTAAATTTAGATCTAATATTAAAGATGGCACATTAGAAAAACTTTTATTAGCGAAAGCAGGCCTACGTGGCAATTGCTGTGAACAAAATGATGAAGTTTCTTTCTTAAAGAAAGCAAAATCTGCCACTGTTTATAACATTTGTACGAAAACTGATTAAAGTGTCTTTTTTTTTTTTTTTTTTTTTTTATTTATTTTTAAACGATGCATGTAATAAATTTTTTTTTATGTGTAAGGTATTTTTGTGTTGCTTGCATTTAAGAATTAGTTACTACTTAAAGTTAATTCATTATTAAAAACTATATTTTTATCATTTAAAGTCTTTTTAACATTGTGAAAAATCTCCTGATTTTTGAGTGTCATAGGTTGGCAAGTATGCCAGTGAAAAATTAATTTTAGTATTAGATTTTTGTAGTAGTAATATTTTTGCTGCCTGTGTGCTAAAAGCATGAAAACCGAAATTTCAACATTTTATAATATATACAAGGGTTTGGACAAAAATATGGAAACACTGAAATAAAAACATATTTCTGTGACTAAATACAGTGTAGGACAACTGTTAGCATTCAAAACAGCTTGCAGTCTTTTCTAGTTAATGATAATGGCAGTGGATAGTGCTCACACAGATTTCTCTCCAAAATAGCCACAAATGCTTGATAATACTGATATCTAGTGACTGTGGTAGATGTTAAAGTTTACCTTCATGCTCAGAAAACCAGTCTTAAATGATGTGAGCTGAGTGAACAGAAGCTCTATTGTCTTGCAATACACCATCACCATTGAGGAACAAAATTTGTACTGTGGTATGTAATCAACCAAAATGGTAATATAATCTTTGGCAGTAATGTGACCTTGTACATTAATGATGGGTCCCATGGTATACCTGATATGTCTACCCAAACCATGACTGTAAACATCTGCCATATTTCACTCTCGGCAACACAGTCTGTATCATACGCTTGGGACAGCATTCACCAGATGTAAATATGCCCAGAAGTTGGGAACAGTGTGTGAAGCAAGATTCGTCTGGCCAAATGACCATCTTCTATTGCTCAGCAGTCCAGGTTTTATGACTTGGGTACCACTTTTTCCTCTTAAGGCAATTTGGTCATTGGTGAGTAGTTTTTAGATAGCAGCTTGTCCCAAAATACCCTGCTTGTGGAGCTCCCTTCATATTATTTTTGCTGTTGACAAGGTTTGAGTGCAACATTCAGTTCAGCAGTCACTTTTGTGGCTCCACTCCTTTTTTCATCCTTTCCTTAAAGAAATGCCACAAACAGTTTGGTAAGAAATATTGTGCCATGACGTAAATTGAGAAAGCCATCCATTATTGCATTTAAAATCTTCAATACCTATGGACTTGTCAATTCATCAGCCTTTGTCTGCAGTAGGGGTCCATATATCGGAAAATTTCAAGATTTAGCCTCCTGGAACCAGATGAGAAATACAACTAGAATATAGAAACTTGTTTATTATTAGTTTTAGGAAAAATATCACGTGGGGATACAAGCACTATCAACTTCCTGCAGTGAAGCGTAAAATGTTGTGTAAAAAGTATTACTGTAGGATCAGGTCTACTTTCAGTTACAGTGGTGAAGATAATGTCGTATGGACAACTTCCTTGCCTCAATTTCCAGTGGCGATTCTACAACATGCTAGTGTTTTTAAAAAATAATTTTCATGTCAAATGGAAGAAACATGCCAATGGTTAGTTTAAAACTATTGATTAAAGTCAGGTGCAGGTTCTGCTTCTTCAAAAGCAAAAAAGCTTATTGTATCTTTACATTGTTTACACTACATTTATAAATATCTCTGAAACCACCCCTACCCCAATGAAGGTAGCTTTATAAAATTAGAGTTCTCTTTGACAAATTTTAATTAATTTTGGTTACTCTAGGGTTACTTTGGAGGATTTGTACAATGGGAAGACATCTAAGCTAAATCTAAATAAGACTGTCATCTGTAAAGCCTGTGAAGGGTAAGTTGCATTTAGTATATTTTATAATAAAGTTTATTTGTGTGTATATAGGTATGTACAGTAAACTTTTAAAGATTCTGTATAGAATTGTTTTTAAAATGTGGTCTAAGTAACACAATATTAATAAAGAATATTTTTGAACGAAAATGTTAAGAAAATTCGTAAAATCTAATTCCATTTAAAATGCAACAGGAATCAAGAAATTTTTTTAAATTAACTTGTGGGGGATAGCAGATGTTTTTACTTTTTTAATTGTAATATGTATAATTATTAAAAAAAATTGAGTGCCTAAGCCTTCCTTGTGCAGTGCATTCAGTTCATGCAGAGCTGTATTTTGTTTCAAATGATAATTTTTATCATTAACTGTTTATTATGCACCTTTTTCTTGTAAAATACCTTCTTGATACTTGCAGGCAGTTAATTACCATCTCTTGTGAAGTATTGCTGAATTCTGGTGGCATCACTGTCCTTCATTTTATGTCTCTCCCCCCCCCCCCCAAGATTAAGTTTGTTATTATTTCATTTGTCTTGCCAGTGAATAGTGCAAGTTTCACGTGCTTTACGGAGACAATTTAAGAAACTGCAATCTATTGCCTTAGTTTTGTCTGCTAAAAATATAAAGTACTTGTGTGCTTTTCAAAAATCGTACACAGGTGACTTTCCGTCAATTATTTTGACAAGAACAACATAAGTTGTATTAGGGAAAAAAATTAATTTTTCTGTGAAAATAAACTATCAAAATGTTATTAATGCAGACTGCTTGTTCTGTGCCATTTTATTGAAGCACAACCTTCCGGATGCACACAATGTCATAGATCATGTTGCAGTTTTATTTAGAAAAATTTTTCCTGTCAGTTAAATCACGAATACTCAAGTGCAAGAACAGAAACAGCTGCAATTGTTAAAGAAATGGGTTCAAGAAATTGGTATGAAAAATAAATCTTCAGTTATTGATTGCATTAAAACAGCTCCATTCTGCCACTATGCAGTTGAAAGCAATAATATCAATGTGCAACTGAATCCTTTTTTTTAAAAAAAATCCAGTCTTTAGAAATTGAGTGTAGTTTACTTTCTCTCTCCGCTTCAGGAGTGCTGACAAGCTTTAATATATAGCACAGCTAATTAACAAAACTTTAAAAGAAAGTGCAATTCTTCAAAATAGTTGCTTAGCACATAGTGCCGACAGTGTACCAGGAATGGTAGACTTGAAAACTGATGTTGCAGGCATCTTAGAAAATTCAGATTTGTAAATTATGAGGTGCACCTGTCACCTCTTAAGTGTAGCAGTTGAAAAAGGTTCAGCTTCTTAGCCAGTTGCATTGGATAAAAACATTATTGATGTGTATTATTATCCTGAAAAGATTTCTAAAAGGAAGAAAAGATTAAAACAATTCAGACAGCTGCATAATATAATACTGAAATAAGAAAAAATCTGAAATATATATGTACACATTAGTTATCTTTAGAGAAGGTGTTTATCTAGAATTCTCGCCTAATTGAACTCACTTCTTACATTTTTTGAGAAAGAAGTAAATGAATGCTTCTGCAATTAAGGTAAAAGGTTTTATTGAAAGTTATAAAATAGGTAAGTAAATGGAGATGTGGTTTTTACTTCCACTATTAAAAATAAGTGTGAAAATAATTAGTTTCTGTATCTGCGAAAAATTTAGTTGGTAATTCTTAAAATAATACTACAAAGTATAAGTGTAATGCTCTTCCAAAACAAAGTTCTCCTAAAATAAAATTGAAAAAATTTGTTTAACAAGAGAAACATTTTCTGATTATTGTAAGTTTATCTTATGAAGAACGAATATTTGTTTTTAACAAAGCTTTTCGCTTTTTTGTGCGCTACATTTTGCCATCATTCGATGTGTTTAACACAATTCTGCTGTGCAGAATTACATTAATTCTTGCTTTGTAATCAATGATTAGTGATCTCTTTGAAGTATTATGTAATGTTTAGGGACTGATTAGACTATTTTTCTATTATTAGAAGGTACTTGTAATAAAACTTCATGTTAAGTATTTTTGCATTTAAGAAATAGTAACTAAACTTTCGGACATAATTTTAACAGTACACACTACCTGGAAAACCAGAAAAAGTCAGGGAATTCGAAAATTAACCAAAAAAATCGGGGAATTTAAATATTTCAGTCAAAATCTGAAAAGGTCTGGGAATGTCATTCAGCGATTCCCCCCCCCCCAAAAGCTAATTTTGCGCCAGTGTTGGAAGCAATCACTTTGTTGGCAAATTAATTCGGCTTGTGCAAATCTTTTTCTGTGCATTCACTATATTTTTCGAGTAAAGTAATTTACAGTAATTTAACAGATACCATAATTTTTACGTAAGAATTATGTATAAATATAATTTGCATGAAAATTACATGCATTATTTTTTTAATACTTATTCAAAGGTCATTTCCCCCTCCCATAAAATAAAATAAAAGTTGCAAATAGTATCGAAAGACGTATGCAAATTTAAAGGTACAATAAGGTATTTTTCATTCTTTACACATAACATTTTTGCTAAAATCTAAATTTGTAGTCCAACAGCTTAGAATTTTATAAAAACAAATTCATAATAAAATCACTGTTCAAGTTACCGAAAAATAACCAAGATGTGATTTTTGCATAAATGTTGCTTAACTATACAAAATGCTGCTATCCATCACACAGTGAAGGATTCTTTCATGCGGAAGTGTCCTGATTTTCAATCTGTATGGAACTCTCGTGTGTAGAAATATTACCTAAGTGCTGTCAAGGTAGCTTTTGTATGTAAACAAAAAGCACCTCATCTGCAGACCAAAGCCTAAGAGCCTTGCTTCGCTTGTACTGCCTGCCTTGCCACTGCAGAGTTTGCTCCTCTTTTCATTCTTACCTCCATGTTTGATTTGGAAGGTGGGTGAAGATCTGTTCGAAAACTAAAAACTTTCTTTTCATTCTTACCTCCATGTTTTATTTGGAAGGTGGGAAAGATCTGTTATTCGAAAACTAAAAACTGCAAACTTTTCAGCATCTGAATAATTAAAGAACTGTTAAAAATTTTCATTCAAAGCTTTGGAAGTGTTAATTTTACTGATGTCCAGTGAAACAGAATTAAAAATTTTTAAATTTGATTAAGTGTATTTTATCAGATTGTATTGGAAAAACGAAGCTCAAATTTCAACAGCAGTGAATGTTTTTTAGTTCTACTAAATTTTGTGTCTTAATAAATACAGGTGTGTTTTTAAACTACCATCTTGAATTTCCTTTTTATAAATGTAGGTTTTCAATTTTGATTCAATTAAAAATTTTTGTTGTAGAATAGTTTGTTAATAATTTTGTTTTGTAATTCTTATACAGGTAGGTGCAGATAAAATTTATAGTGTTATGCAAGTAGTGTCATTTTTATAATAATACTTAAAGGGGATTTATTCCAGATTAGGTGGTCGACCTGGAGCTGTGAACAGATGTACCACTTGTCAAGGTCGTGGTATAAAAGTTACATACAGGCAGTTGGGGCCTGGCATGGTACAGCACATGCAGACATCTTGTACAGACTGTGGTGGTGAAGGTATGGTGATGCACAATTTCTTTTCTTTTTGGATAAATAATTATTGTATGTATTATTAAAAAAATATGTTTTGATTTTTGATGTAGACTTAAAATACTAACCTACAAGAAAAATTTAGTCATTACATGCTTCTAAGCTGCCTTTCATATAATAATGGATTTCTTGTACTGTCAGAAAAATATTACTATTGGATCTTTGAACTTCTTTAACATCTTAAGTTTACATTTTGCTTTAAAAGAATAAAGCTGAGATTTGCAGAGAAAGCTCCGTCTGAGAATATTTTATAGATTTTTCATAAACTTTTCACAGAGATTTGAGTAGCAGTGTTTTTAGGCCTGTTCACAAGAGCAGATTCGACTGGTAGCAGAAACCGGTTCTTCCAACATGTCCCATTCACAAGCATTAACTGTCTCACCTATTCCTACCTCTCTGGAGCAGGGTAAAAGGGGACATTTCCCATACTACACTGCATGATTGTGCCGTTTACTTAATTTTAACAAACAACATGGCTGATGTGCAACTCACTGCTCATTGAACTGTCAAATAAAAAAATTAAAATCGAACCCTACGAAATACAGAAATAGTAAACAAGTACACACAATGTTATCTGAAGCTGGGTATTCCAGAAATAACGGTTTAAATTAAAACTAAACAGGCGCACACCGTCTTCAACGGGACTCAGTACAATTTGAATGTTTTTTTTTTTTTTTTTTTTTTTTTTTTATTTTTTTTTTTTTTTTTTAGTCCAAAGGGGCAATTTACCATGAAGAACTATTAAATTTCATTTTGGTATTTTGCGTTGAAAACTATAAATGGCGAAATACTTTTCAAATTGTTGCCACCAAATATTATCGCCTTGTATTATATTTAAAGATATTAAATAACTAAGAATCTGCATAAGTGTGCATAATCTAATATTGTGATAAAACAACGGACCCTAGAACCATCTAATTTTGAATAACGTGTGGTTCCACCCGAATATGGGCATCTGGAACCCCAAATTTGGAATTTGTTTTATTAACTATTTCATATTTTGTAAAGCTTTCAGCAATTTTTGATTAACAAACTCGATGATTTCAAAGCGAGCAATGGCAAAACTTTGCGTGGGGTGGGGGATCTTTATCTCGAGTAAGCGAGACTGTATCAGAAGTTCTAAAGATATGCTCATTTTAAAATTAGTTTCTGATATTGCTGTTGAACTGCATTTTAAGGTTAATTGCAAAGAACTTGATATTTAATAAATAAAGGTAACAAGAAAATGTTAAAAAAATGTCCCTTAGGGCGTAATGTAAAATCTGAATGCTTTCAGATTTTTTTAGTCCAAAGGGGCAATTTGCCCAGAAGGACTATTAATTTCTTTTTGGCACTTTGGGTTGGCTCACTATGAATATCTGTTCACCTTTCAAATTCTTGCCACCAAATATTAGAGCCCTGTATTATGGTAGAATTTGCATAAATGTTTGTATGCCTGCAGAATCTGCATGAATGCATGTATGTTTCTCGCAGTGTGATAAAACAACGGTACCTACAGTTATCAAAATTTGAATAACGTAATCTTCCATAGAATATGGGCATGTAGAAGACCAAATTTGGAATTGGTTTTATTATTGATTTCCTAAACAGATTTTTGATTAAAAAAACTAAACGATTTCAAAGTGAGGAATGGCAACACTGTACGAAAAAAATTATCTCCAGCGCGCGAGACTCTGTATTGAAAATTCTGAAGATATGCTCATTTAAAAATTATTTTGCGATATTGCTGTTGAACTGAATTTTATGGTTTGAGTACGTAGAACATGATATTTAATAAATAAAAGTAACACACAAAATTTAAAAAAAAAAAAAAAAAAAGCCTCTTTTGACGTAATTTAAAATTTGAAACCTTTCAGATTTTTTTAAATACTTTTTTGGTCAGTAATTTTTTTTTAAATTAAAATTCTTTGGAGAAAAGTACAACAATTAAAATGTCATTCTTCTCCCTCAATTTTCAGTGTTTTTCCCCAAATTTTCTTTTTGTATTTATTAGAAAGTTCTTAATAACTTAATGGATTGATTTTGCAATTAAAGAATTAGTTGAAAAGAAATAAAAACATATTTTATGTAAAATCTTTGAAACAAATATGATCTCGTTCATATTTTCACTTCAAATAAATTTTCTTTTCAGTATTTTGCAAAACCCATCCTTGTTTGTATAAGGTATGTAATTTTAAATAAGTGGTAAAAATATTAATTAATTTTGGCCAAATCTATATAAGTTTTAGGACATTAAAAAAGGATTTATCGGAAAAAATGCAAACTGAGAAAACACACTTTAAAGACTTTAAACTTTCTAAATCGTTATTAAACCATTTCAAATTTCTTAAAAATGTTATTACTAAATTTGAATACACATGTATACACACACACATATATATATAATAAAACTTAGTGCTATTCAATTTGTTATTATAAACATAAATTACAAGCTTTTATTTAAAATCTTCATAAAACATGTTCAAAAAAATTTTTAATGCATGAATTAATTATATTTTCTAAAACGTTTATAATTAATGCAAATAATATTAATTTGTCGTTTTATTCATTTTTTAAAAGGCAAAGTTTGAAATCTTAACAGCCTGAAAACATTTTATTTAAAACCCTTCAGCAGTATGCATGATTTCCTTTCTTTTAACCATGTGGTCTCGTATATAAATTGCATTTTATATTATAAGGTTATAAGGTTAATTTTAACTAATTAAAGTGTTAAACTTCGATGGCGTTCTATAGCAATAGTAAACAGTGTCAAAAAAGTTGTGAACTAACGTTAGAAATCTGCCAATCTGATTCGCGTTTGGGACATCATACATGGCTCGCAGTGGCCCGGTCCTGAAGGCGATCGTGAAGGATCTGAAGCAGTTTTGTTTTTTTAAGAATAATATAAAAATTATTAGCAGAGTCCATAACCTGCTCTACTTGACACAAAATCTATATCTTTGCAAATATTCATATGTATAATATATCATGTTTAAAAAAATTTTTAAGAATAAATTTTAAGCAGAGTCCATAATTGGCTCTACCAAGCTACAAAGTTAATAAGCTTTGCCAGTAAGTAGTTTAAAATAATTAATGAATGAAATAATAGTGAAATTATAATACATGTATACAATCACAAATTGATATTATGGTGAATAGACCTAGGTTGCATCACTACACTCTCAACAGTAGGATCGTAATTAATTATTTCACACAAGTAAGGATATGAGGAATTTTCAATCATTTTTCTCCTCATTTAAAAAAAAAAAAAAAAAAAAAGTGTCTGAATCCATAAGTATTTGCTCCGGAACTAGACGAGTCTTAAAGTCTGCGTGAATAATAGTGTAGAGTTGCCAACTTTTCCGATTTTCGACCGCTCTCACACCAACCCGATTTACAATATATTTCTCCCAACTTTTTCTTATTCTTAAAATTTCTCACGATTTTTATGGAACTTGGCTTAATACTTCGTTATATGAACAAAAAAAAGTGATTTTTTACATCTGAAAGCAATTGAATTTTCTCTAGATTATATCTAAAACAACCTTGCGAATTAAATGAGAATTTCTTCTTTGTGAATGAGAACATACATATCCAGAAACGTCGTTCTTCAATGGGCATCGAGCTCCGCTGTGTGTCATCTGGCATATATTAGCCAACGAGCATAAAGCAAACTTAAGGTTGTTATTTGGATGTTCTTTAGTTATTTCGTTCATCTTGTTCTGAATTGTGTGAGTACACATGCCTTCGGGAAATAGTTTAGAATTTATCATCTCTTGTTATGTATGCGAGAAAGGTGAAATACTCCCGTACGTTTAAAAAATAGTACACAGTTGACTTTCCTTCCATTATTTCCTCAAGGAAATGTGATAAATTTGTGATGTGTACCATCTGTCGTGATTTTTCGATTTCGCATGGTGGAAGGGTATATGTTCTCAATCGTGTGTACACAAGGACAACGTGAGTTGTTTTGGGAAAAAAAAAAAAAAAAGAACTGCCTTTTTGCTGGAGCACAACTTGCCACTGAATGCATAGGATCACGCTGCAACTTTATTTAGAAAAATGTTTCCCACTAATGAAATCGCTAAGAAATATTCAGTTGTAAGGACCAAAACAGGTGCAATTGTTAAAGAAATGAGTTTGAAAAATAAATCTTCAGTTATTGATTGCGTTAAAGCAGCTCCGTTCTGCCTCTCTACGGATCAAAGCAATAATACCGATTCAAAACTGTATCCAGTTGTTGTTTCCTTTTTTAATCCAGTCTTCAGAAATTGAGTACAGTTTACTTTCTGTCCCCACTTTAGAAGGACATTTGACAGGCTTTAATATAGCACAGCTAATTATTAAAACTTTAAAAGAAAATGCAGTCCCTCTGGATAATTGCTTAGCTCTTGATGCCGATAATGCACCAATAATGGTAGGCGTAAAGACTAGTGTTGCAGGAATCCTAAGAAAGGAAAATTAAGATTTGCAGGTTATGAGGTGCACCTGTTACCTCTTAAATTAAATAGCTGAAAAAGGGGCAGCTTCTTTACCAATAAATGTGGTAAACATTGTTGATATTTATTATCTTGAAAGGAGTTCTAAAAGGAAGGAAAAATTAAAACAGTTCCAACAGCTGCATAATACTGAAATGAGAAAAATTTTGAAATATGTGTGTACATGCTGGCTGTCTTTAAAGAAATGCTTATCTACAGTCCTCGATCAATGGAACCTTCTTGCATTTTTTAAAGAAGTAGTAAATGCTTTGAGAGTTAAGATAAAAGGCTCTATTGAAAGTTATAAAATACCTAAAGTAAAGGAGGTGTAGTTACTACTTACATTATTAAAAATAGGTTTGAGAAAAATAAAGTAATTTCTGCACCATTCAGCAATTCAACTGGCAGTTCTCAAAATAATACTGCAAAATATAAGTGTAAAGTTGATACAAATTTCTCTCAAAATAAAAAAATTGCTCAACACACAAAACATTTTCCGATTACTGTAAGTTTAGCTAATGTGCCACTGTTCATAACATTCTGAATACAAAAGCAAAATCTGCCACTGTTCATAAGATTTGTACGAAAACTGATTAAAGTGTCTTTTTCTTTTGTTCTTTAACCGTACAAGTAATAATGTTTTTTATGTGTAAGGTATTTTTGTGTTGCTTGCATTTAAGAATTAGTAACTATTTTAATTCATTATTAAAAGCTATATTTTTAGGATTTTGTGAAAAATATCCTGATTTTTGAGTGTCATAGATTAGCAAGTATGATAGTGTGAACATACCAAGGCGCATTTACCATGGCACGTAGAATACTGTTCCGTAGAATTTTGATTTTCTGTCGTTCTACTTTTAAGGCTGTGGCCCATGCCGGGGCAGCATAAAGAAGAATTGGTCGAATAAGCGTGAGATACCTCATATATTCTGTTCACTTTAAAGCTGAGTTTTGATTTCACTGAGTTTGGTAAGATTATATAAAGCCAAAAAGAGATCCAGAGTTATCCGGAAGGCCAGTTTTGGATTTCTAGTCAAGTGACTAAGTTCTGTTCCCACGGTTAAACACCTTGTCATCCTGTTGTGATAAAATACTTCGTATTATGAAACACAAAAAACTACAATTATAAGCACAAAATGGCACCATTAGATCACCTGCGACATTTAAGTAAATAGAGTCCCTGATATAGATGACTTACATGTGATGAGAAATGCTCACCTCTGCAAAATAAGGATCACTGTCAGCATTGTGTTACTTGCTCACTTTCTCACTTTTTACATTTGAGGACCCAAAAGGCATTAAGGTTATATATTTCTAATGTAGCAATCAGTTATGTCATTATCCTGATTGTGTAACTATCAATCAATACTCCAATCTTTCATCCTCCAATATAAATTAATTTTTCTGGGATAGAAATGAAGAATTCCAAATATTGGTCCTAAGGTTAACCCCACTCTTTTTGTAGGCAACTTGGTTTCATTCTGTAGGTCACGTTGTTACCTATGCCAACGAAACGAAAATCTTTCAATAACATTCACAATGAGATGATGCAAAAGTAGCATGGCAATTAACTAACCAGTGGAGTGAGTGTAATCCTTCAATCAGTTGTAAAAGTTTATTGTACAGTTATCAAACTGAAGTTTGGTAAGTAGTAAGTACTGAAATTAAATTATTGCAAGCTAATCTCAGTTGCCTCATTTATTCATGTTTTTAGCTCTGCTTTTACTTATTTAGATGATATGTACAGTTTTATGTACCACACAGGAAGAAATCGGATCTGGAGAAGCATGAGGTTGGATCATCCGTAGGACATTTATTATTCGAGTAGTCTTATGCAAGTTTATTCCCATTAAAGGTTATCTTATATTGTTGCTTAGTGATACTTGGATGTAATTGAGAAAGTTGAAGGATGGCTACATTTTTATCATATTCAATTAAATTTCATTTGAAACATTAAATGTCCTTTTTTTCTTAAAAAGTAGGAAATTTAGTAAAAAGGTCTAGTGGTAAAGCAAAATTTTTTAAAATTAGTACAAGCCTGTTTGTTTTCAGATCATTTCAATTTGTCACTTATTCATTATAGCTTAAAATGTTTTTATTTTGTATGAATTATGCACCAGCAAAAATTGATTTTTTAATTTATTGAAGTGGAAAATATTCCAATGCACTTGAAATGCTTATTGAAATGATGGCCAGCTTTTTTCCTTAGTATGTATTTGAAATTACTTTGCGACTTAAATCTCAACTATACTTGATTGATTTTACTGTATTATGAAAAATTTCATTCAGATTTTTCAGTCACAAGAATTCATATTTTTAGGAGCTACTTTGTAGTCACATTGCAGAAGTGGGAGGAATGTGTGTTTCAGAAGGCAAGCACATTTGCATTTTTTTAAAAAATAGCCGTAACTGTCTCACTAGTTAATTTATTTTCATTTATTTTAACATGTATTGCTGAGTGCTGTATGATGTGCCATAAACCAACCTTATTTTCTAGTTGACTAACTTCATTAGTATGATATTATTTGAGATGCACACTTAATTTTAAAATTTGTTCCCATTTTTATAATGTTATTCATTGGGTAATGATGATAAGGTTTTGTGTGAATCAGTAGCATTTTGCTGACTGAAAAATGATCACATAATCTTCTCACTGAACCTATATAACAAAATAATTGATTTTTAATGTTGCATAGACTTTGCAGAATATATATTTCCAGTATATTTACATCCTTCATTTTGCAAACATTTCTTGAAATTACAGTATCACTAAAATGTGCATTTCTATGATGTTTTCTAACTCACATCATGAACAGTTGGTCATTAGTTCTAAATTAAGTAATGAAAAACATAAGTTTTCAGAATATGACACTTTATAGTAAAAATATGTTATAGAATAAATTTTTTTGTGCAAACTGACTGGTGTAAAGGAAATCCCAGTGTGCCATTCCTCATTCTGATTTTTATTCTTTAATTTCTTTAATGCATGATATTGTCTGTTCAAACAGTGTCAAAAATCATATTACAAACTATTTCCTCTTAATGAAAAGGATGACAGTTCTACTGATCTTCATAAGGGTAATGGTGACTTATATATAGGTGGTATGGAACCTGGCATTGTTATACGGTGATCCACAATTGTAGAGATTGTATAAAAATTGAATTCATTTATACACAAACTTTTTACTTTTATTATTCCTCCAAATAGGACTTTGAAATTCATGCTTCAGTATTTTTCTAGTGTATTTTCAGCTGTCTGCATGTATAATATTTGTCGAGATCTGTAAAGTTATTTTTACGAAGGGAGACTTATCTATAAAACATTTTTTTCTCGAATACATTTTCATACCCATTATATGAAATTTAATATTAATATATTTTTACTGAAAGGTATTGTAGCTAAAATTGATGCAATTTAAAGATTTTGTTATTTGACTCATTCCTTAAATTGGCATTACTGAGCCTATACAATACTGAATGATGAAAAAAGTAAAATCAACAAAGTTCCAACATGGGAAGTGCATGCTTGTGTTAATTTTGCAGTGCTTTGAAGCATAATTAAAGTTATTTTGCTTAATTTTACTCTATATTGACTTCTGTGGTTATGTTATTATAAAATGATTGTTGTGGTTATTTTTGCTATTGCATATTGAACTGACTTTTTTAAATTGTGTTTTGCTTATGAATCCCTAGGTTAATGTTTTATTGCTCTTACTCCACCTCATGGTGACAAAGGCTTATTTTTTATTATATTTTGGAATTTTTTTTAATTTAAATGTCGGTTATTTTATGGTATGAAGAATGTGTAAAATTCATTTTTAAAGATGTATTATTAACCCTTTGATAGTTACAAGCTTAAGGAAATCTTTTCTTTCTTAAAAAAAATGCGATGTATCTGTCAATCCGAAATTTATAATGAGAGTGTGCTTGTTTGTTGCTCACTGTGACGCATAAATGGAATGCAAGTTTAGCTCATTGATGACCTTCAAAATGTTAATTAAGTTATATGATGTTTTGACTAAAGGATGACTTACATATGCTATAAATAAAATCCTTTTAAGGCATTTTTTTCTAAATATCTTCGTGTAGCACTTTACATGCATGTTAAATGTTATGTTGTGTAATGAAAATTGATTTAAAAAATAGCAGATTGAAATCGCAGAGATTTTCTAACTTTTGCGTACCTTTGGTTTTATTTATGTTTGGAACTAAAATGACAAAAAAGTATAGAAATAACATTATTAAAGTATCTGTTTTAATTGCATGGAGTTTGTGTAAGTATGCAGATCTGTTCTAATTTTTCACTTGTATTTTTCTAGGAGAAGTATTAAATGAGCGAGATAGATGCAAAGTATGTAAAGGAAAGAAAATTGTTAATGAAACTAAGCGTTTAGAAGTTCATGTTGATAAAGGGATGCAAGAAAATCAGAAGATATATTTTAGAGGGGATGGAAACCAGCAGGTAATTTTTGTGTGTTTGTGTATGCAATTTTGTTATGATATCAAGGTTCCCACCTGCCTAGAAAATCTTTGATATTCAGAAAATAAAAGATTGTACTAGAAAATGAGAAGATAAACACTTCTAAAGGGAAAATTTGGACTTTTTTTCAAAAATATTTTTTTAACCTCTTACCAGGTTCATTTTTCTGCCATATTGTGATAAAAAATAAGTATATTCTTTATACACGATTTTGTATTCGAATCAATTTCTTGAATTCAGATCAGCAGTCAAAACTGTTTCAAATATTGAATTTATTAATTTAAGGTAATTTGTAGTTATGGCAAAAAGAAGACATTTTCTGGCTTTTTTCTGATGAAGGTGTGAAATTAGAAAACTTTATACTGTATAATTATTAGGAGAAAAACACGTATTTTTTAAATACTTACATTTTTATTTCTTTTCAAAATTCAGCTTTAGTATGATGTATTTTAAAACATGAAGATACACAGTCCGATATTAGACTCGCAATAAATGTCTGGTTTCTGTATGACATGTTTTTCACTATCTTTACATTTCAAGCAACAGACAAAGCATACACAAAAAGCAGTAAAACCTGTCCCTGAAAATTGGTTTTACAATGCAGTCTCTCCTGCACTACTTAGAGACATTTAGTAGAAATACTGCAAAGTAAGAAAAGGCCTGGCAAATGAGCGGATTGGTATAGCAAAATGTACTGCCTGAGCATGCAAGTGCAAATCAGGGAAGACGCCTTTCACGATACCCAAACGGTGCTCGGGCAGAACCCGGGTTGCCACGCTACCGGAAAAAAATCGGAGAATTCAAAAATTGACCAAAAAAGGCAGGAAATTTAAATATTTTGGTCAAAATCTGGAAAAGTTGGGGAATGTCATATGGCGATCCCCCAAAAAGCGACTGTTATGCCAATGTTAGAAGCGATGGCTTTGTTGGCGAATTATGTATCGGATGAGCGTCATTCGAGCAGCTGACGTAGAGCCAATTTTCACAGCTCCAATCAGATTTCCTTTTAGAAAGGCAAAGCAAGTTTTGTTTCCTGTAACCGTGAGAATCCTAAGACTCACATATGCAGGTTATGTTGAACTAAAGAAAATACCTTCCCATTCTCATATACAACAAAATCTGTTTAATCCTAATATACGGTACCATGGAGGCTAGAATAGCCCCCATGTACTCTATTGTAATGTAAGAATGTCTATGTGAAGAAAGAATGGTTTTATAGACATAGTGTAAATCATTTTACTACAGTGCCGCTAGAAAGCAGAGGGGAAAACTCGCCAAGGGATTTGGCGACGGAACTGAGAAGTTTTTTTAGCTTAACAATACATATTTTTTTTATTCTAACCTCCATGTACGGTACACATGAGATTTGGCAACATTATGATGAGCAGTAACAACATCATAGTGTCGCAAAATCCCATGTGTCTCTTAGTCTCTGTTTAAGAAGGTGTTGTGTAGAAAACCGGTCATTTTGGTGTTGGCGGCAGTTTTCAAAATTGTACAAAGGCCGTGGCGGAGACTTTTACCACAAAATCTTTTAAACTTTTGGTTTTCGTTTTAATAAATGCCTTATTTTTCATTTTGCAGTAAAATAAAAAAATAGTAATTGGTCATCTAGGCTAACGTTTAATATTCGCCAAAATAGCATTGATTATTGTAATTCAATTTGTAAGTAATTAACTTCATTTTAATGTTATTTATATCATTTAATGTTCTTTTCTCTAAATTTATTTATTATTAGTTAGTAATACTTTCAAATTTCTCTGGCATAATTCTGAAACTAAATCTAGTAGTATGATGACATACTATCACAAAATTTAATGCACATATTTTTGTTTATGTATGCTGCTAAATAAATATAAAGTACCTGAATTTATTTTAAAATATCATTAAATAGATTTCTTTCTTTCGCTTAACATCAAAATGTCTGCAAAAAAACTCATTTTTTTAATCCAGATTGGGTAGATTCTAATCTCAATCTTCATTGGAGAAAACAACTCCTATTAATAGTAATGCTTTCAGGATTATATATATATAATAAGTCATATGCAGTTGGCAAATTATTGTGTTTTCAAGTGGTACTATAATTAATTTACCTCTCAGTTCAGTCTTGTTTGAAAAGAAATTTCTATGTTATTTTCTTGGCTGTATGCTAATCTCCTTATCCTATACTAGTTTTGAAATCTTGCCTAAAATCAAACTGCAAACATCTGGTGTGCCCAGAGTGGAATCACTGAAACACTAGGACCAAACCAACAACTGTATCTTTGTTTCACTGCAGTTCTCTGATGAACTCAATCACAATAGAAAGGTGGGTCCACATCTGGCAGGGTTTGTATGGTACTTAAAAGTCCTTAATTTTGGCCCAAATCAGCAGAAGGTCCTTAATTTTAATCAACTGAAATTTCTGTCTGTTTTTATGACTGTCATTTTAAGTGTGAATTAGCATTTTGAGAAATATTTTTGGCAATTCACTACCGTATATATGGTTATCTTTTGAATGGGTTCATGAGTTATAACTTGTTTCTATTTCTAATATAAATGTTGGGATACTCGAGTTTCTAAGCTGAAAGTGAAACATAAGAATTTTGAAATTCATTTTTTCAAATGAAGACATCTTTAACTACTTCTCGCTTTTGGGGATGTGAATTCTTTTATTAAACGGTTCTAAATTTGGCAACTTAAGTAGTCGAAAGATCAGTCTTTCCCTGCATTTCTCCACTTAGCTTTAGTCATTTCTGTCCAAGCTACAAGTGGTAAACTTGAAGAAAGGGGATAACTTTTCTTGGGGGGCGGGAGTGATATGCCCCCCAAAAGGGAGTATACATTTAAATATCCCTTTAGGTTTGAGGATCAAATATCATGTGAACATTAGGTAATCTGAATTTTTATGCTGATATTCCTTGATCTCTGGATGTGTCTTTATGCTGAAACTTTGCCATTTTCTCATTTTTGCATTGTATTTTTCATTAATTAAGCACTTCAAATTCTGATGATCTGGAAGATAATTAATTGATAAAATATTTAGAAATTCTGTGTGCTTGTTGCCATTTACACTTTACCGGCCGGCCGTCGATTAATTGGCATTTGCTCCCCAGCGCTTACCGGCCTGTCATCGATTAATTGACTTTTGATCCCCAGCGCTTACCGACCGACCGATCGTCGATTAATCGACTTTTGATCTTTCTGTTAGATTTGGTTAGGTTAGATTGACAAGTAGCAAGCATTTCGCATTCTTTAATCAGATAATCGGTGCTTTTTTCCTAAGCTCTAGCCCTTAGAAATGAATGGAAATGATAGTCTCAGCGAGTTTTATCTTGACGACCTGTCAGATTGTCTTGACTGCCGTTCAGCAAGTAGTACTGATGACGAAAGTGATAGCAGTAGTATAGCCATTCGAATGCGACGTCCTGTACCGCTAATATACAGTGATCCAGAAGACGAGGACATGAATAATAATGTTGAAGACAATAATGATACATGGTCAACGAACGACAAAAGTATAATTTTGGAACATTTCGAAGGCAGCTCTGGTGTAAAAATTATGCTAATTTCCTCCGAAAGCATAATGGATATCGTGAATTTATTCATTGGAAGTGACCTGATTGAGCACTTTGTGAGGGAGTCTAATAGATATTATTATCAAATTGTGGAAAAATATAAAATTACATCAAAAACGAAAAAATGGAAAGACGTCATGGTGACTGAAATGAAATTTTTGGGCCTGATCATTCTCATGGGACAAGTAAAGAAGGATGTTCTCTACGATTATTGGTCTACAGACCCATCTATAGAAACGCCATTCTTCTCGAAGGTCATGAGCAGGAACAGATTTTTACAAATAATGCAAAGCTGGCATTTTTGTAATAATAACGATATTTCTCCCAATTCGCATATGCTGTTGAAGGTCCAGTCTGTCATTGATTATTTCAAGGAAAAATCTAACAACGTATATAAACCAGATCAACAATTGTCAGGGTTGCCATGCTACCTGGAAAACCGGGAGAACCGGGAAAAGTCAGGGAATTCAAAAATTGACCAAAAAATTCAGGGAATTTAAGTATTTTTGTCAAAATCTGGAAAAGTCAGGGAAGTTCATACAATGATCCCGCCAAAAAAAGCGATTTTTGCTCCGACGTCGGAAGAGATAACATTTTTGGCGAATTGCCTATCACGTGAGTGTCATGCTGGCATAGAGCCAATTTTCGCAGCTCCAATTTGATTGTCTTTTAGAAAGGCAAAGCAAGTTTCCCGCAACTTTTGGTTTCCAGTATTCTCGAGAATCGCATGTGCAGTGCATGAACTAAAGAAAGTACCTGTTCTCATATAAAACAAAATGGATTTAATCTTAGTATACGGTACCATGGAGGTTAGAATCAAAGAATATGTATTGTAAAGAAGGAAAACCTCTCTGCAACAGACGTGGCTCCGTTCCATCATAGAGGGAAACAGCTGTGCATGTGTGATATATCTGCCGCCAAAGCTGGAAACCGGTGTCGAAGTTTGAAGGTCACGTTATCAACGCACGTCGAGATGTTTTTGTCTCAAAACTGCGAGCGACGTGAACACCACGTCAATAAGCATTTATCGCAAAAATGAAAATAACATGGTGCACACGTCGCCTAACAACGAGATTGTTTATTTCTCGAGTTACAGCTCTGGATTGCACTCGCAGATGCGGAGCGGCGTAAATGAGACACTTTACCACTTGCTATATTGTAGCGCACGGCACCGCAACCGTGAAGTTTAGTCTTAGCGCAAGTGGTTAAACTCTAAAGGAAAAGAAAATATTTTTTGGCGCAAGTAAATTAATTCATGGATTAGTTATTTTCAGGGGGGAAAAAAAACTACGAAAATCCGTTTTTAAAATTATTGCGAAAAATCCAAGAAGAAACGTCCTTTGATAAAACGTTTCTTCTTGGATTTTTCGCAATAATTTAAAAACGGATTTTCGTAGCTTTTCTTTTTGTCAAAGAACGTTTCTTCTTAACACGTTTCTCAATTTCCTGTACACATCGCGGAGAGGGAAATTCTGGCCGCCAGGTTCCGTCGCCAAATCCCTTGGCAAATTTTCCCTCCGCATTCTAGCGGCGTAATAGCATTTTACTTGTATGGAACCTTTTCTTCTTTACATAGACCAAAGAATTAGAGATTCTTTGCATAGACGTTTTTTTTGGTTAAAATAATCTCCATGTATGGATTTGGCGACATGATGATGCGCAGTAAACGGGTCATTTTGGTCTTGGCGACAATTTTCAAAATCGTGCCAAAGCCTTACCGTATACTAGAATTTTACCGCAAAATCTTTTTAAACCTTTTTTTTCTTTTTTAATAAATACCTGCCATTTTGCAGTAAAATAAAAAAATAGTAATCAGTCATCTAGGCTAACCATGTAATATAACTATATTCGCTAAAATATCGTTGATTATTCTAATTCAATTTTTAAGTAATTATCTTTATTTTTATGTTATTCATATAATTTAATGTTGCTTCTTCCCTCTAAATTTATTTATTATTAGTAAATAATATTTCCAAATTTCAGGAAATTTTCTCTGGCATAATCCTGAAATTAATTCTAGCAGTATGATGACATACCATCACGAAATTTAATGCACATATTTTTTCCTTATGTATGCTGCGAAATAAATATAAAATACCTCAATTTATTAAAATAGATTTCTTTCTTTCGTTTAGCTGCAGAATGTCTGCAAAAAAAGCCTTATTTTATTCCAGATTGGGAAGATTCTAATCTCAATCTTCAGTGGAGAAAACAACAACTATTATAATTATATTTGTGTTTTCAAGTGTTAAGGTGCCTTTTAAGAACATACCTCACACAAATTAAATTTACCTAAAATCTAACCTAACTATTTAGCATTGCGTTGTGATTTATAAGGACCGGATTAGCCTCGTGTTGAACTGGTGATGATCATGAGTAATAATTAAATAAAACATACATTTGTTATCCAATGTATATATCTTAAATTTTATTAAGTTTCTTAAGTGGAAAAGTAAACAAAATTATCAAACAAAGTATACCAAGAATAATTAAGAATAAATGTCCTCTGGGATTTATTGAATAATTAAGTGAATTTGCTACACAATACAAGTAATACCATAATTAATTTACCTCTTAGCACAGCCAACGTACATTACGCGGATAGACTGGAATTTTCTTGAAACACACCTGGAAAACCTGGAAAAGTCAGGGAATTTCATTCTCCTGTTTGAGTGGCAACCCTGATCTATGACACACAAAGAGTGGTGTCAAAAATAATCCGGCAAAAACAAAAGAATTAGAGTGCTGTCTGAAGCTCGTACAGGATACGTATCCAACTTTTGTTGTATGCCGCTGATGGAAAAATTAGAAGACAGTATTATCGGTCATTGGACCGTATAAGAACATGTGGCACCATATATATCAAGATAATTATTATAATAGTGTCAACATAGCTAAAAAAAATTTTTTTAAATAAATTATGAGTGTGTGGGACGATTCAAAAGAACAGAGGTCTTCCTCAAATACTTCAAACAGTCAAGCATTCAAGAGGCCAACATCAATTTCTTAGAAATGGCCATATTTTATTACAGGTATGGAATAATGGCAAAAGGAATGTAAACATGATATCAACAATACATTTTGTTCAAATGGTGGAATCTAGAAACAGGAGCAGAACATCAGATTGCTCCGTACAGAGGCATATTTCAATAATAGATTATAATAAGTATATGAAGGGTGTAGATCGCGCAGATCAATACTTGTCCTATTACTCCATTTTTAGGAAAACAAAACAAAAAAATAAAAAATAAAAATGGACGAAATGTGTCGTAATGTTCTTCATCAATTGTGCACTTTTTAACTCCTTTAAAGTATATACAACTCTGAATGGACAGATGATTACATATAAAAATTTTCTGCACAAAGTGGCACTTTCATTGATAGAAGACCGCGAAACTGAAGAACAAGGTAAGGATCTACCTAATTCTGAACCCACAAGAACCACATCCCGATTTGATCATCCCGGAAGACTGGCAAATTTCGGAAAGCATAAACTAGTAAATATAGTGATGTAACCCTACGACAATGCAAAGTTTGTGCAAGTAAAAAAAAAAGCTAAGCAGAACAGGTTTTGCTTCTAAATACTGCAATGTCCCACTATACAAAGGTGACTGTTTAGAGTGCTGTCATAGTTTAAAAAAATATTAAACAACTTCTTTTTTCGACAAATATTGTTATATCGATTATGGTATATTTTATGTAAATAATAAACTGAAAACGATTGTAATAGATAAAATAAATATTGTTTAACGCTAATATGATTAAAGTAAAAGATTTTAATAAATTTCGTTACCCTACAATAACACGAAGCGTACAATTTTACCAGAGTTTAAGAAAAGCACATATGTTCCCGCGCGTCAGTCTAGGCCGAAACTGAGTCTGTGTCTTGGACGATCTGCGGCTGAGCGAGCGGTGAAAGGGCAGTATGTTCGAACCGCTACCGGTCGGTAAAGTGTTAAGTGTGTTAAAATTTTTATTTTGCATTTATTAGTTAAAAACCTTTTCATTTAAAATGTTTAAATTTTGAAGTAAAGTTGGGTAATTATGAATAGCATTTGAACATTTTATTGGAAAATCCTGATTATGTGTCATGAAGTTTATTTCTCTGATGCAGTAGCTTTTTTATCATTTTATTTTTAAAGTGGTATTGTTATAGTTTAAAAGCATATATTATTGTAGCTTGACATTAAAAGTATTGGGTTTTAACGAAAGTTTTCTGCCACCACAAATATCGACCGAGCTGCCATGTTTAATCATATTTTATCAAACGATTTTTGACATTAGGGGGAAAAAAATACATGTGATGTGAAATTTGTGAAAAAATATCATTATCAAGTACAGTGTGTCTGAAGTGGAACTATCAAGCTACCAGATTAGAACCATCATTTACATTCAGTTCTGTTGCAAAAGATCAGCCAATATCACCAAATCATGTGTACTGCTTTAGGTAGCAATGTTGTATCGTATGACGCTGTGAAAGTTTGGTACTGAAAGTTCAAAAATAAGGACCATGACGTTTAAGAAGCAGAATGCTCTGGCTGGCCCACTGTTGTTGAGGCCTGCCTGTGAGAACTTTGGAAGATCCTTGTGCAACTACTTGAGAGATTCCTAAGGTGTTAGACTTTAGTGCCATATCCATTAGTTGCACTATGCATCACGTAAACTTGATGTACAAGTTCAATCTCTGGGGGCCGCCGAGTTGAGCAGATAACGACAGACGTGTTCGGGCCTGCACTAATCTTCTCAAATATCAGCATAGGGACAAATTTCTGGACCGGATCATCACTTGTGATGAAAAGTGGATTTACTTCAAAAATGCAGCTAAAAGAGGTTGGTTTGTGCAGCATAGCATGCTGTCAGCAGCATAGCAAAACACAATTTAACATTCTAAACCTTTAATTATTGTATTTATGTTTTGTGGAATAAATTATCCATTTCGGTATGCCAAGTCTATTTATTTAGTCCCTTCATTAAACACTATCATTGCATGCATTTGCTACGGCTACAGTACTCGTACTTGGTGATTAAGGAAAGTGGTCAATAACAAGTTACTGTTATATTGTAGATGGTGGCTAATGTGTTAGAGCAAGATACTGTATCCCTCATTTGCATTGATTACTGCATGTGTCGAATTTGTATCAAGTGTAGATTTCTTATAGGTAGAAGTTACTTGAATGATCTCGTTTTTATAAGTATTTTGCAGGTACTTTTAATATCATTTTTAGCAGGAACTGTTAATTTCAACATATATGAGCTGCATTCTGTTACATAAATGGTATATTACCAAATCATTAATTCCCAAAATCATTTAATAAGGATACTTGATTTTTTAAAACTTCTGTATTTTTATTTATGTTGCCATCTGTAAGTTAATGTATGCAAAGTGTTTTTTTTGGGGGGGGAAGAAAAGTATAAAATGTTTTTTAATTATAAAAATTTAATTTCTAAATTTATCGTAACATGTTTCAAAGGACAAAACTGCTCTTATATTTGAAAATTTTAGCATGCTGTACGTTCCAAAATTTTTTACATGTTTCAATTTTGAAAAAGGACACTGTTATTGTTAAAGTTTATATAAGGGAAATATTTTAAAATTTCTGCATATGACAATTAACATGTAAAAAGAATTTCCATTTTGATATATTAGTTTAAGTATATCCAGGTTTTAGCATTTTAGATTTTTCAAAAATGACAGTTTTAACAAAAACAATAATTTTTATTAATTTTTTTCCTGTCTTGTATACCTGATCCTTATTTTTTCAGCCTGGAGTAGAACCTGGTGATGTAATAATTATCTTGCAGCAAATGCCTCATGAGCGCTTTCAGAGGGAGGGTCCAGATTTGTATATGTCTCACACTTTAACTCTCACTGAAGCTTTGTGTGGTTTCTGCATGGTAATCAAACATTTGGATGGTAGGAGTATTGTTGTCAAGCATGCACCTGGAGAAGTTATTGAACCAGGTAACATTTAATTATTAAAGAAATGTCAGATATTTAAAAGATTTATTATCATTCATCAAAAATATATGTGTATTTTTTAATCCCCACCCCACAAAAAGTGCATCCCTAGAAAATTTATGCAATCAGGATAACATCAGTGGCAAGGCAAGAGATTATAGGGTATCATTTAACACATCACAGAACCATTTAAATACCAAGAAAAATAAGGTGACTGCATAGTCAGTGGCTTTGTCAGATGGTGATGCTTAGTTCAATGAGCATAGACCATGATGCGAAATAGGCAGTATTCGGTCTGACACCCTACATTAACATTATCTTTAGTCATCTGAGGTAAATGATATGAAAATGGTTGTTCTTTTCTGAATGTAATATGGCTCCAATCCATTGCAATCCAAGCATCATCAAATTGGGTTTTGCTGTCGATGATCAGATGTTAATGATAAATGCCATTACAGATGAGAGTAATGGAGTTTAGCATCTACTGGTTATTTCTGGAGTAGTGTTTTGTGATGCTGCACATCTAGAGAAGTGGGTCTGAATAGCAGATGATAGCTAATTTCTTGCTGTACCTTTAAAGCAGCTGATTTTTCCAAGTTGTCTTCTTAGATCCTCATAGTTAATAGCTCCAGGAAGAATGGTGTTAACACTAGAGTGCTCAGACTTGAGGTCCAACTTATATGGAAGCTGATTAAAATTTTAAAATCCAGGTACATTTGTGGTATAAGAGGATGCTGATAGTTATAAATGTACCTTTGCAACCACAGCTAGGTAACATGATCCCGCTGTGTCATTACAACATATTTCCGTGGGAAATTTGCTGGTGCAATCAACTCTGTGATGGGAGCTCATTTGATTGACTGTTGTTGAGTGGAATTGTGTGGTCCCCCCTTTTTGTGTATGTGTACAAACAGTGCTATTATATAAACTGTTTAAAAAATAGCACAGCCAGCAAGTAATGTCCTTTAAATGTGTTATGTATTGTATCTTATGTGCTTCAGGCTTGTATTGCAGTTTTATTGGTTATATATTTTATATCATATGCCTGTGTTTCTGTTTGTCATACTTACATATTATGCTTCAAGATTACTAGAATGTTAAGCCCGTGGATTTTTTTTTAGTAGAGAATGTGTAGTAACTTAATTATTAATAAGAAAATAATGCAGACTAAAAGTAATTAGTATTGATCTTCAACTTCATATTAAATGCTGTGTTCACTTAACATTTGTAATGTGTGGCAGTACTTTTTTAATAGCTGTATTCTGCATTCATTGTTTTACTTTATATATTAAATGGAAAATTTTCCAAATGATATCCACATTTTCACCTTTTTTTAACCCGGCATTACACGCGCTGGGTGTGTCATACCCAGGGTGGTTTCTTCCTATTTTCTACTATAAAATTTACACAAAACATAAAACAGAAGAAAAAGATAAAAGTCGAAACAGTTTTAAACATATATTTAAAATATTACTTACAATTATTCTGTACATTTCCTGCAAATACATGCCATATGTTCCATACATACATGTTTTTGACATTTTTCACAAATATATTTTGTTTTTCTGTCCTTTTTAGATCCACATTCAGCACATCTTTTAATTATTACTTTTGCCTTCTTAGCAGATGGTTGAGAGTCCTCATTCTTTACCAGTTTTACTTTCAAACTTTGCGGGAGCATTGTTTGCTGGCTTCTGATCTTTTTGTAGTCTTCGATTAGTTTAAATCCCAAACTTTTCAGAAAAGAACGTCGTGTTCGATTCTGAGTCGGTGGTTCCTTAGTGGATAGCAAAATAACGCGTGCATTTATAGCAGCTACATTCAACATTGCATAAAATATCGTCATAGGCCATCGATTTGTTTTTTTAGTTGTTGAATATGTTGCAGCCATTTCGTCGACGACATCGACAGCTCCTTTCGTTATATTATAGAAAGTTATTATTTCGGGTTTCTTTGATTCTCCAGTAGTGATGTCTATTGCATTATCGTTATGCATTGTTGAGAGCAGAAGAACATTTTTACTCTTCTTTGGTACATACGAAACAATAGTCGTTTCTTTCTGAAATCCAAACATGGAAGAGTAAACGTCCCTTTTTTTTTTTTTTTTCTTTTTTTTTTTTTTTTTTTTTTTTTTTTTCAAAAGTTCTTGTGAAATTGGATAAGAAGTGTACCAGTTATCCACTGTTAGATTTCTTCCTGAATTATACAGAGGTTCCATCAATCTTTTTACGACACTACTGGGAGAATTATCTACTTGAAATGGACCTTTCGGCTGTTTACCGGCATATATTTCCATTTTCCAAGTATAGAACACTCTCGAATCGACGAGCGCAAAAACTTTTATTCCATACTTCGATGGTTTCTTTGGCATGTATTGGCGAAATGGACATCGCCCTCTAAAAGATTCTAATTTCTCGTCTATGGTTACGTACTCTCCAACGTTGTACGATTTTTGGCAGTTTTCTACAAAATTTTCGAAGAATTCACGTATCGGGGCCAATTTGTCTAATTCTTTTCTGCTCTGGCGAGTTTGTATATCATCAAATCGGATGCATCTCAATAAAAAATAAAAACGTGTTGATGACATGGTTGTACGGAATATTTCTATTCCAGTGCCGTCTGTTGCCCAAAGATCTCGTATATACACATGTGATGATTTATGCAAACCAATGAGATAAAGCAATCCAATAAATGCTTTAATTTCAGCCTCATTAGTTTCTTTTGCATCTCTTTCCCGTGAAAAACGCTCTCGAATCGATTCTATAAAACTGTTAGTCCAATGCACTAACTTCTTTATCATATCAGAAGATATAAGGAGGTTCCAAGCATCCACAGGAGAAGTTACATTCTTTGAAACGGGTGTATTTCCTGGGAGTTTTGATATTATATTTTTCGCAGAAATTCTAACATTAGCTTTGAATTTCTCTTTATTCCACTTCGTTATGTTATCTCTTCCGATAAAATAATTATCTTCACTTGAATCTGAAACATCGTTTTCAGAATCAGATTCAATTTCTGTTGAAGAATCATGATCACTACAATATTCTTCGTCATCTGGCTCTTCATTACCTGAAAAATCACTATCTTCCTCTATATT